TTATGATAAGAGATCTTCTGAAGTCGGGTTTGAACCAGGAGACAATGTGTGGTTGTATAATCCCAGGAAGACCAAAGGGAAGTCTCCTAAGTTGTCTTCTCCATGGGAAGGCCCATATGACATAGTGGATCGCCTCTCAGACGTGACTTTCCGGATAAAATGTGGTTGGCGAGGTAAGCCAAAAGTGGTGCATGCCAACAGGCTTTGGCGTTATCATGGTCCAGGACATTTCAGTTGGGATGAAGTGAACAAAGGAACAAATGACGCTGCTGAAGAAGTGTCACTGGAAAAAGCCACTGTCGAAGAAGAAACTCTACTCAGTTTTGAGAAGGGAAACGGTGAAGCTCTTGATGAAGTTACTACCACTGATGTGACTGTTACCAATGATAGGAAATTTACTGATGAAGCAGATGAACCCCACATGAAGCAGAAGCCAACAAGACGGAGACCAGTACGGAAGAAGATACGTCCCGTAAAATTAAGAGACTTTGTTGAATTGTAATTTTGTGTTTGTAATTCTGTACCTTTAATTAAGTTATTGTTAATTGTTATTGGTTTAATGTAAGTGGCTATTGTTCGGGACGAATAATACTAAGGAAGGGGCAGTGTTACGACATCGAGGTCACGTGACCAGTATCACGCCACGTCGTTCTCAAACATTCACGTCCTTTCCTTAAATCTCGTGATCCTTCTAGATATAGTGGAGTATTGTATATATAAGACGTCACAGCTTGACAGAACAGTGAATGAGTAATTGAATGTATGCGGACAGAATATTGTTGGCCACGTGAGACGCGAGTTATAGCGTTGTTATAGAGCGACTGTTGAAATTAAGTGTATCGTAAAGTTGTATTCGGAAAGAATAAACCAGTTTTATTTAAGAAAGGACTTGTGTCGCTAAAGTTTCGTCGGAACAAATTTAACGGGAAATTAACTAACGAACGGAGACTTAACACTATCTAGCCTAAAGTATAATCGTAACGCTTGTAACCATAATGTAAACCCTAACATTATTCATCGTCTACATGTTTGCTCGTTACTTTTTATATTTCCTCGTGCTGATTAAATCCTCGTTGTTATCAACACTCACTACGCTATTGTATTGTGTTCGATTTTTCTACTTGTAATTAAATAAATAAATGAAGATAAGTAATATGAATTTGCATTTGCCCCTAAACAAAAGTTTTTCTCCCGTTAGTCTACGCAGGACGAACGACGATGGGTGAAAATTTAACGGCTTTGTGGAGAGTTCTTTCCCGGAAGAAAATAACATCTTGTCCAGGAGAGGGCGGACGGCCGTTACAACGCTGTTTGTCCGTCGTTGATGTGACATGCTTAGGTAAGCTCTAAACTCAGCTGACAACTATAATCTAAACATCTTAACACTTTAATGTCTCAGATATTGTAAGATCTTTAAATATAGCTGGTTTCCTGAACATAGTATTATACCAACTTCAGAAACCTAAACCTTTTAACATTTCAGATATTGCAAGTACTTCTAAATATGGTTGGTTTTCTGAGCATAATGTACTGCCAGACTGAGAAACTTAAGCTTTCTAAACGTCTCAGATATAGTAAGATCTGTAAATATAGCCGGCATTCTGAACATAGTGTACTACCAAATTGAGAAACCTAGCCAGGTATTGCAAGGTTTATAACTGTAGCTGGTTTCCTGAGTATGTACTGCCAAACTAAAACACCTAAGCATTTTCATTTTACACTGTGCCATATAAATAAAAAAACATAACATTTCAGTTGTACGTCCCGTAAAATGTAAATTTCATATTTTTACTTAATACATTTATTTTATATATCATGTATATGTACTTCCAAAAAGGTAAAGCTTTCATGTTTCACCGTGATGAATAAGTTGTAAATAATAAAGTAGTAATTTTGTATGTTTCTCAGAAGCTAGATAATACTGCTGTTATGTTTGAGATTGTGTAGTAGTAGATTAATAAAATTTATTGTTCAGTGCCACGCTGTATAACGATAAAACGCAAAATTTCTTGTTGAAATCACACTGTAGTTTGGTGAGAAGACAAAGTTTGTTGTGTGTTCTGTGTCATATTGAAGCATAATGAGAATACAAAGTTATTCAATATTGACGCTGTAGCATGGTGAGGAGGCAAAGTTTGTTGTAAGCACACTGAAGCATGGTAAGATTGTAAATTTATTAAGTATTTATGCTGAAGCAGTGAGTGAACATAAATTGTTCTGTATCATGTGTGAATAGGTTAAGATGTCGTAATTCACTGTGTAATGGAGGTGATTAGAGTACGAGGAGGACCAACCAAGTACTGAATATTTGATATAAACTGATATAATGTTACAGACGCTATTTATAATAATTTGATGTTGTCATTATATGTGTTTTGGTGAGACTTTGTTGTAATAGATGAAATGCTGAATTACACATCTTTCTACAGGTGTCCCATAAAATTGTTTGCTGTTCTAATAAATCGTTCGTGATGTCCATAGAACCTGTCTCATTATACAAATTACATATGTATATGTTTAATATAACATGCATTTCTCAGTTTGGCAGCATTAAGAGTATATGTATTCCATGTATATAATAATGATCTTATATGTTACAAAATAGGCATAGGTTTTGGCTAAGACTGTACGTTCTCACGATTCTTCAGCATGATATTGAGTTAACTTTATGTTCTACCCATACTTCAGCATGTTACTGAATAAACCGTATGTTATCACCATACTTCAACATGTTACTGAATAAACTTTATGTTATCACCATATTTCAGCATGTTGCTGAATAAACTTTATGTTCTACCCATACTTCAACATGTTACTGAATGAACTTTATGTTCTCATTTTACTTCAGCATGTTAATGACCAATAAACTTGATGCTCTTATCAGCATAATACTGCTAATTACATTTCATGTTTTCATTTTATTTCAATATGATGCTTACCAATAGACTTCATGTTCACATTATACTTCATAATAAATACATTTTAGATTCACACAGCTCTCTTACCAATATTCCAAAAACTTTTATTTTTAAGAACCTCAGCCCTGTATACAGTGAGATGTTTAAACCTCTGATTGGTCTATAAACCCTCTTGAGATCCATTACGAGTTTTGACTGCAAGATTTTATATGAGAGATATATAGTCACGCTAAGACTATCAAGTATATGAAACAATATCATGAACGAATGGTTATATACATAGACAAGTATATCTACAGAAAGAAAGAGACAGATATAAAGAAGTTAAATAAAAAAAATTTAACAGATGAGCAGGTTTCCTGATGCGCTATGCAAAGTATAAAAACAAAACATTCTGTGTTCTGTACAAAAGTTTAGGAAGCTGAGTCTTCCTATTGCGTGTAGTCATGAATTATACAAAAAGTCTAGTAACATACAAAGTAGATGGACAAAGAGAAGTGGGTACATTTTGAAGTCATATTTAGGCACTGTCATTAGAAGTGAAAATTGTGACATTATATAAATAAAGTTATGCGTCCTATATAGACGGGCGTTGTGCATTTTTGTTTTTTATCTAATAAATCTGATTTAGGGCTAAGTATATGTATTCTTGGCTAAAACATTAATTGGTGATATCAGTCTCTCATATCGACTCAACACAAACGTCCTATCTCCCCTTAAAGACCGAAAAACTGTAAAACAGGCGTATATTTCTATTCCAACATTGACAAATTCACAACCAAATAAGTATTAGTACTAAATCTGGGACCATTAATGATAAAAAAAATCCAGTGGTCACCTTAAATATATGATTTTATATAATTTAGTGATCCTGCTGCCCCTTAGAAGCCAAAAAACTTAAAATCCATACATTTGTTGATTCTGTAAAACAAATTGGAAGAAAATATACACTGGTGCCATATGATTTTCAGCCCGAGCTTGTCTCTTTGTTTTACCACCATCTAGAGGCTGTAACAACTCCAGATTTTCTCTTTGTTTTACCACCATCTAGAGGCTGTAACAACTCCAGATTTGCACTTCGTTTTACCACCATCTAGAGGCTGTAACAACTCCAGATTTTCTCTTTGTTTTACCACCATCTAGAGACTGTAACAACTCCAGATTTGCACTTTGTTTTACCACCATCTAGAGGCTGTAACAACTCCAGATTTTGCACTTTGTTTTACCACCATCTAGAGGCTGTAACAGCTCCAGATTTGCACTTTGTTTTACCACCATCTAGAGGCTGTAACAGCTCCAGATTTGCACTTCGTTTTACCACCATCTAGAGGCTGTAGCAACTCCAAATTTCTTCATTTCCCGTTTTTGTTTTTTATCTTCTTCCATATGCTTCAAGCTGGTAATGTTATCATATACAAACAATGCACGTAAATGTTGCTGGCAGATAAAAATTGTTCTTGGGAAAAAGCTCAAGACGGATACTACTGCTCAAGTTTCCATTGGAGGATCTAAACTATCGGATTCTGGAGAAGGATAATCTACAAGTACGTTGCTTTCCTGATTTTCCTGTTCTAATCTCTCCTTTTGCTACTTTCCTTTTCTCCATCGTTTTCGCACGGACGTTATTTGCATTAAGATCTCGAAGAATCTTCCATTTTCCTTGGACATTATCCTCAATAAGATGTAATCCTCCTCGAGGATTTTTGACAATGTGAAAGTTTTGAAGCTCTGCTACTTGTGTTTCATCCTTAGTAAGCAAGTCAAAATCACAGTTCACTGAAGTGTTGGGGTTTCTAATCGTTCTTGACAGGCTGTTCTTCCTTTCTTTAATACTGGGTATGACTTCAAGTAAATTAATTCTTTAACCATTTACCGGACATTAGACTTAGAATTTTAGTATATACATTAATTTGAATGTGTCTGTCCAGTAACTCTGTAGCAGTTTTGTATACGATCGTTTTGAGTGTATCTGATCCTTTTCTGTGGCAAAGCTTTCATTGCTCATAGTCACCATGAGGACAGATGTTGTTATCTAATCCTTTCTTGGCAAATGATTTCCCTCAAAAAGAATCTTTAGCAGAATATTCCTTCTCATTCAGTTCCCAAAATGGACGCTCGCTCCTGATACTTTCCATGCTTGTTACAAACTGAGCCTAAAAACTTCTGCACTGAATCTTCTTGACTATGGATAGAAAGAGTATTAAACAACTAGATGTTTAATAATCTAGTGTAATATATTTGTTTTCATATAACCTGTGGTATATGGAAATGGCTATGCACTTTCATAATCCTTGACTATAGAATAAGAAAAAAAGAACAACGATCCCTTGCAGAATAGATGAATATGTTCATGTAATACACGTCATTCAGTTTGTTATAATTATCCTATTAAACATGTGTCAATGCTGGGATAGAAATATATACAGGATGTAGAGTTTTTGTCTTTAGGAAACGGTAGGATATTAGTATTGAGCCAAAATGAGAAACTGATGTCACTAATCAATGTTTTAGCCCAAAATGCATACATCTATAACTGACGATCAGTTGTTTTTATTTCTAGAGCCCAGGCCTACTCTTATGATATAAAACATCAGAAACCAGAACAGTTACAAAATAAACAAACAAATTTTGTATTTATTTGTTCAATAAATATCTAAAAATGATATGATTTATTGGTATCAAAAGAAACAGAAAGTTTAATATTCAAGATTCGTTCATTAATGGGAAAGTCGTTAAGATATTTGAAGAGTGGCACCTAACAGTCTCTACTTCCTACAAGAACACTTTGCATTAAACGGAGTCTGAGCGTTAAAAGCAGATCGGTATAAATTAAGCGTCCTGTCAAATTCATTTCCTAATAGTCAGTGAAGCGAAAGCAAAGAGTGACGTCATTGAGACGTGGTGGTTAGCTGACTGGAGCACGTGCCTTGTAAACGGAGAAAGATGTTTGAAGCTCTAATCTTCATGTGTTCAGAAAAATCCAAAAGTTTATACTAATTATTCATAACTCCAAAAAATGAGACTTTCAAAAACAAAGGTATTAACAAATCCCAAACTAACGAAGCTAGAACGTCAAAAATATTATTCTCAAAAATTAAAAAATTAGCACGAATTAAACATTGTTGAGGTTTTTATTTAGAAATATAAGAAAAAGCTGAGTCATTTATGCATTTAATTTCTTGACTGCATTTTTCGAGAGAAAAAAGAAAGAATAGTCTGTCAATATAATAACATAAAAAATAAAACTTATCCATAAAGGAAATATTATTGTTATTATACAAAAAATACAAAAAATTCGATATCCATTAAGTTTCTAATAAATCATTAATTCGACCATTCATTTTTTATTGCCCCCCAGTGGCACAGCGGTATGTCTGCGGACTTATAACGCTAGAAA